ATTATGTAATCTGTTAAGCATAGTAGTAGTTTATGTCTCTGTGGACAGAACTTCATGAGCTCCATGTATTTGGCTAGTTTATCTGATTCAAGTTTTATTTATGCAGTTGCTATGAAAGTACTGCATGGTAAAGCTATTAGAAAAGTAAAACTAAACAGAAGAAAACAAACTAATTTATAACAGTAAGTTTTACAAATATTAGTGAACTTCTACTACCATATAACACAAGTCCAGAATGCAAAAAATGTGCATTCTTCTACTTTATGTACCTTTTGGAGAAACCACTATATGTCACATGTTACTGAGTTCCTATAGTTCATTCTGTATTTCTTACAGAATATAATCATTTTCTTAGAACATCTTAGTCCTTTGGTGATAAATATCCTCAGTAATTTCTAGGAACCAACTCTGAGGAACACATTTTTATAGAAATTACCTATAAATGTTCAACAGCAAGTTAGATTTTTGTGAAAGTTACACAAAGAATGTCCCTTTGCAGTGTGCCTGTAGGTAGCTACCACCTTAAGATTTTTTTTTCCTGGACCAATTTAATGGAGTTTTTATCACAAGAGAGTTCAGTAAAAATATTTTTATAATACTTTACTTGGATTTTACTTTCTAAATATATACCTTCTAATATCATTTAAATAGTATCATATGTGTTTCTGTTCTTATAAATTTAAAAAGTATATGTGGTTTTGGGTTTAGAGTTGTTTAAAATGAGCTACACGTTGTTGATTTTGTAGCTAAGAACATGCTCGTGTAAAATTGATGACTTGAAGTTATAATTCTTACATCCAATAGCATGGGAAAATTGAAGTATTCAAATTACCTTTGATACGTAATAGATGACACTTTCTTGTGAGAGAATGATCTAGTATCAAGAGACAAGAAATCTTTAACCCAAATGATTTGAATTATTTTGCTTAAGGTAATATAGGAAATCTGGCAAAGCCAAGATTCATCCTTTCTGGGATCTTCACTGAACTTTTTAGGTTCAAAAATTCAGTTTTGTCTATTCACCAGGGAGTGAGTAGGCTCTGGTGATCAAGTCACACAACCCAAAACCACATTAGACTGACTTATAAACCTGAAGGCCAATTTGTTATGCTTCTTTTATTTTGTGGGTTTTCGATCCCCTCAATGAAAGTACTGTTTCCATTGGTACAACACAACACATGCACACCTTTATTCTTTGGGATGCTCTCCCTTGTTCTCTCTCTCAGTCCTCCACATAGGGCTCATCCAGTGTGGTTGGAATCTTCCTCTTGATCTATTGACCTGATGTGTATCCCAGAGGAGCTCATGAGCTAGCTGTCCAACCATCCTTATCTAACCATTACCCTCACTTCATTACTGGCCAACTTTGTTTCTAGTGAGATATATACACATTTATACCTGTCCAGAATTAGTACAGTTCTTCACATAGGTCACTCTCTCTTAATGGATATTTCCACTCATTAGCTCAAGTGAAAGGTAAAGTTTGGGTGAGCAAAAGAATGATGAAAAGTCTATTTCCATCAAGTTATGATAGCTTGAGAGGCAGACAATATGTCCTAGTGGATAGAAAGCTAGCCTTGATACCAGGGAGATTCGAGTTCAAGTCCCATCTCTGACATACTGGCTGTCTGACATTGAACTGTGTAACCAGGGGTGCACCCCGGAGTGAGGCAGTTTCTTCATCGGGGAGTTCCCTGTATCAGTGAGATCACAGATCCATTCCTTATCCCCATCTCTTTGGTAGCTAAGTGAATTGCCTAGCTCCACTGTGAGGACATTCTGTCTGAAGAACTTTTAGTGACTTGTAATCAGAACAGTGAGCATTTGCTAAGCTCCAGGAAAGCCCTCCTTCCTTTTCTCTCCACCTTTCCCAATCTTACCCATTCTTCAAAGCCCAGATCAAGGCATCCTTTCTCCAAGAAGCCTTTGCCAACCCATTAAGCCTATAAGGATTTCTGTCTGCCCTCTGAGTTCCTTCCTATATAGCTTTTATACTTAGAATCATAATTTTGTACTCAACTGTATATTTTTTCGTATTCTCTAATTGTTTATGTGTGTTTGACTTGTTGGCCCAGCTAGGTTCTACATTCCTTGAGCATAAAGACCACATATTATACTTGATAGCTGCTCTTATAGCACCTAGAATTTCTTTCTAACAAGAACTCTGTGTGCTGTTACTTCAGGCAGTGGTTTATTAACAGGTATTTATTGGTAGCAGAGAAGAGCAAGGAAGGTGAGAGATGAAATCTCACTGGCATACCAGATAGTTTCAATGATCATTTTGTGGGTTGAATAAAATTAAGGAAGAGTAATTTGGGGAAATGATTTGCAGTTATTATTTCCACAATCTATAATCCTAATCCCTCTTAAAACGTCAATGCCATGATTTCTAGCATTAGGTAGGTAAGAATGGATAGAGTACTGGATCTTCCTGACTTCAAATCTGGCCTCAGACACTTACTAGCTATGTGATCCTGGGCAAGTCACTTCATCCTGTTTGCCTCAGTTTCCTTATCTGTAAAATGAGCTGGAGTAGGAAATGGCAAACCACTTCAGTATCTTTGCCAAAAAAAAAAAAAACCCAAGTGGGGTCACAAAGGATAAGACCTGACTGAAATGACTGCACAACAGTGACAACAACATAGTATAATAGAAAGTGTAGCGTGAGAGTTAGGAGACCTCAGGTCTGATCTTGGCTTTGCCATTTGCAGACTGGTCACGTGGCCTCTGGGCCTCTTGGACTCTTCAGTATGTAAGATAAGAATAATAGTGCATATACAGCCTACTTCACAAGGTTGTTGTGAGCATTAAATGAAATAATATGTGTGAAAATGCTGTGTTAACTATACTTCTGTGTAAATTCAGGATATTATAAGCATCTTAATCAGATATAGTCATAGTTGGCAGTTTTATGTACTTTGTTTTAATGATTGACAAGTATTTTTAACCCTTTCCAGACAGATATGTACCTTGGAAGATCTGTGGAAGAAAATATCTAAGTGTATGTCATATCTTTAATAACATATTACAAATATAACACATTCTAGATTTAAATGTTTTTAATGCTACTATCAAGGCAAAAAGTTTAAGTTGTAATGGTATTTTTCATAGCAAAAAAAGATTCTTGTTTTTAAATTTCCTGGCAAAAACCTAGCACTTTATTTTTCATAGAATTCCAGAGTCAAAGAAGATTTCAGTGCTCAGTCTAACCCAGTCCCAAAAGGACTCCCTACTATATCATTCAAAGATAGCCATCTAGTCTTTGTTTGGAGATCTCCAAGGCATGAAAACCCATTACCTCCCCAGGCATTCTTTTGGATACTTCTAATATTATTAGCAAGGTTTTGTGGGGGTTTTCCTGAAGGTAGATTTAAATTTGCCACTTTACAGCTTATACACATTGATCCTGGTTCTACTCTCTGGGACCAAAGAGAACAAATCTAATCACTGTTCTACCTGCTTTAAGAGCACTGTCACGTGCCCAGAGTCTTCTCTTGTCCAGGCTTCACATCCCCAGTTTCTTAAACCAATTCTTATGTGGACCGCAGACAATTACAGACAATTCAACAACACATGTTAGAGCAAGTCACTGAGAAGTTAGCCCTGATCACCCTACTGCATAATGATGATGATGATGGTGATAACAATAACAACAAGAAGCAGTTGTTAACAGCTCACTGTCAACATGGAAGGAAGCCTGCGTGGCGTACACTGGGGATTTATGCTTTGTCCCATGATCTTTAATGCGTTTACTTTTTTTTTTTACATCTTCATATGAAGGCGTAGATGGCATGCTTATCATATCTGCAGACAACATAAAGACAGGAGGGATAGTTAGAGTATTGGATAACAGACTCAGGTTCCAAAAAGATCCTGACAGGTTGGAGCACTGACCTGTAAGAATGACAGTCTCTAATTCTAGCAATTCTCATAGCCTTCGATTTTGACACTTCAAGAGGGATGTGTATATACGTGTGTGTGTGTGTGTGCGTGCGCGTGCACACATATATTTATGTATACATACATGTGCTATTTTACGTATGGATAGATAGATACTGTTCAGAGTATTACAATAATTATATAGAAAGAGAGAATCAGGTATTGAGCACACAGTCTCTAGTGGGAAGTGCTGAAAATGTAAAGACAAAAGGGATATAATCTGTAGGTACTGTATATAAAATGCTTTGCCAAATTATGGGCATTTGAAAGGAATGGTTCTTATTCATTGCACTCTTGAGCAGCTGGTTGCAACACTGAAGTTTATTCTGATATTAGAAGTTGCATAGTAAAAGCTCTTTGCCTGCACATGTATATAATCATTAGTTACACCAGGAGTTTGCATTCTATTAGGGAACCAGTATGTACATATATGACATATAGAAAACAAAACTAAGGTCACTGGGGAGGAGGGAGCTGCAGTAGCAGGAAAGGCTTCGTGCCGTAAGGTGACACTCGAGCTAAATCGTGAAGGAAGCAAGGCGTTGTAAGTCAAGTGAGAAGAGAGTGGACACCAGGCATGAACGCATCTATAGGAAAAGAGATGAAAGATGGAGGGACATATGTGGAATAGTAAGAAGGCCAATTTGGTTAGAAAATAGAGTGAAAGGAGGGTAGTAATGTGCAAAAAGACTGGAAAGGTCAGTTGGCTATAATATGAAAGGTTTCTAATGTGTTCTAGAAGAAGAAAGGGAAAAGAGGAAAGGAAAGAGGTAGAAGAAGTAGAGAAAGGAGGAAGAGGAGAGAGAGGGAGGAGGAGATGATGATGATGATGATGGAGATGATATAAAAGATCTAACTCAATATCATCCCAACCTAAAACATGGAACTTAGGACTCCTCCTTTTGGGGGTGAATCCCTACTCTTTTTTTTTTCTTTTGGCTAGGCAGTGGGGTTAAGTGACTTGCCCAGGGTCACACAGCTAGTATGTGTTATGGTCTGAGGCCAGATTTGAACTCAGGTCCTCCTGAATCCAGGGCTGGTGCTCTATCCACTGCAGCATCTAGCTGCCCCGAATCCCTAGTCTTTGGAGATCTTAACACCACTTCGTAAAGATCAGGGGTACTCATGTCAAATGTGGCCAACATCAGATGCCAATAACTTTTAGCATTCCATTTCTTTCCTTTATCAGAACCACAGAGTGTCAGAACAAGTCTGCTTCCCATGATAGCCCTGCAGAATGTTCAGAAAGCTACCATGCCCTGCCTCTCCCTGCCCCTACCCCTACAGACATTTCCTTCCATTTATCCTCCTTGGTATGGTCTACAGTCTTCTTACCATCTTGTCACCTTCTTCTGGACCTGTTCCAGGCTCAGTGGTTTTCTTTCCTATGGTATAGTGTCCAGGACATTGTACAGCATCCTAGATCTCTAACATCTGCTACCACTCGCCCTTCCCCTTCTTTTTTATGTTACATCTTCTTAATACAACCTAAAATCACACTGGTTTTGTTTTTTTGTTCTTTTGTGTTTTGTTTTGGCAGCTATTCACACTCTTGATCCTTTTGGAGTTTGCATTTTACTAAAACCCTCATATATATTTTTTGTGGAAACTTTTACTGAGTCACTTCTCTTCAATCCCACACTTGCAAAGTGAATTTTTAAAATTCAGTTATCTGAGCCATTTTGAGTTTAAGTAAATATATTTATTTCAAGGGAAAAGTATAATTTCGGAAACCATACATGCAATGATAATTAATTCCTGTGAAGATGATAACCAGTACAGATTTTGTAAATTGATACAAAAGCAAATGACACTTTCTTCCTAAAGATGGTATAGTATTGTATCTGTTTAAAAAGATATGCCTTTATTGAGGAAAGATAGAGTAAAATTTGTACTTTGCCATTTGAAATTGATGAATTTTATTCACATCATGTATTTTTCAATTTCTCCTTATCCCTTTTTGCTTGTTTCATTTTGTTTTGCTTTGATTCTTTGACTAGGCTGAAGAGTTAAAACCTGGATATTCCAAGTACAACTATGTATATTTGGCAAAGGTAACTAAAAATGATTTTAAGAAAGTTTTGAAATTTTGTGTTTTTAGGGCATTAATTCAGTTTCTTTTCTTTCAGTGCTACAAAGATCTTGGACAAAAACAAAATGCTTTGATGTACTGTGATTCTGCTTTGCTAATTAGTTCTAATAATAAAAAGGTAAGTATAGATCACAGTGACTGATTCAAATCTATTCTCATTTACTCTTTTCTCCTTATGAGAGAGATTCAGAGGGGAAGAGAGAGAAAAACAGAAATGTTGAACTATGTATTTCTTAAAATACACAATGTAGCTTAAAATGTAATTAGCTTAAGAGCATTTTGATCTTAATTTGACTCAGAGACATCTTGACTTTGGTTTTCTCCATTCTGCTAAATACCCAGGACCAAGTGTGTTTATGGGTCAAGCTAACTGTAAGGCAGCAGTGCACAGTATTTTATACCCACTTGGGGCTAGGCGGCGGGGAACAGAATGATCAAGATAGAGAAGGAAGGAGCAAGCTGCTTAGAGTCAGAGAGCTAGTAAGAACAGGGATAGGAAGCCACAGAGAGACAGACCAGATTTTGGAAATGGTTAGGATACAAAAGCAGCCTACTCCCTGCAGGTCCCCGTTCTCTGTAGGAGACACCCTGGCCAAAGTCGGTAGGAGAGAGATGAGCAGGCCTGCCAGGGAGCACAGCTGACTGCTCCCCCCACTGCCTCTTCTCTAGCTCTTCCTGTTCCTCCCCAACCTTTCAGGACCTGCCCCTATTACAAAGAGGCTCCGTTAGCTGATAATTGACCAAAAAGTGTGTCCTAGGATATTATAGCTGAAAGATCCACTGGGTCATCTAGTCCAGCCCCCAGTTCTGGAGGTAAGGGGACTAAGTTTCAGAGAGGTGAAATGATTTCACCACTGCCACCCAGCTAGTATGTCACAAAACTAGGACTCAAACACAGATTTTCCAACTGGAATCCATTGCTTTTTCTGCTGGGTCCCACTGTTTCCTGTGTTGGAAGTGACATAGTTTTGACAGCATTCAGTGATTGACTCACAGCGTACCAAATAACTTTAGGGAGTGTAGACTGTTAGTATCTCAGTCTATGTCTTAGCCTTCTCTTTATATCAGGGGAGCAAGAACGAATTGGTATTGTCTTCTTGCTCCCTTATGACCACAGCCAAGCCTTCTCTGAGCCACAGCCTAGTCCCTTTTTTAGCCCAGTCCCTTCTTCTGATGAGGCATAAACAGAACAGGGCCACTGCTGCTTTCTATTTTTTTAATTGTTCTCTCATAATTCCCAGGTCCTATGTCAGAAATGTTACATGGGTTAGAAATCTGGGGTCAAAGCTGGAGTTAGTAGCTGTTGGATTATTTTTCATACATAAAAACCTTCCCATAAAAAATTAGCCCTTAAAAACCTGTGACGACGACCAGGCAGCTGAAAGAGGCCAGACCCACCTTCAGACTGTTAACACAAGGGGTGAACAGCACGGGCAGAACACTCTGCATTCTGGGTAAAGACTGGATCTCTTTAAAAACTGTCTCTGGTTCTGAGAATCTGAGTAACTTTGGGCAAGGCACCAAACTCTCTAAAATGAAGAGCCAGGACCAGAGAGGCTCTTTCAGATCTAGATCCTCTACACTTACCCTCCATTGCAGAAAACAAGACAGCCGCAAGTAATGCTAGCTTAGAAAGCAGTGACATTAGCAATACATTATAGAAGAGGACCTGCATCCAAGCCCTGCCTCTGACCCATACTAACTGGGTGACCAGGATCAAGTCATACCCTCCGGTACCTATAGGCAACTTTCTAAGATTATAAGTTACAGGCGTGTTTCTGATTTCCACCCGTGGGGGTAGGGAGACACTTTCAAAAGAATGACACAAGATTATTAATAGTAATCTGTTACTAACAGATTAATAACAGCAAGTTATTAACAGTTGTTAATAACTATTAATTAGTATTAACAGTATTAACAGACTGAACACAACTGTTCAGTTGTGTCTGATTCTCTGTGACCCCATTTTGAGGGTTTCTTGGCAGATATTCTGGAATGGTTTGCCATTTACTTTTCCAGCTCATTTTACAGATGAGGAAATTGAGGCAAACAGGGTTAAGTGGCTTGCCCAGGGTCACACAGCTAGTAAGTGTCTGAGGCCAGATTTGAGTCTTCTTGAAGCCAGGCCAGTGCTCTATCCATTTTACCACCTCACTGCCTTTATTAGCAATATCAACTCACAAAATAGTGAAAAGCAGTTTAAAGAGAAAATAAGCCACAGGGAATTTAATGTACAATCCAGCTAGGTCAGATCATCCCTAGAATATTTTTAGGTTAAAATAGGACAATAATATATATTCTCATCAGCAGTTATAATGGAACTAGTGTATTTGGGCTTGATTAACATAGAAGGCAGCTAGTTAGCACAGAGGACGAAGCACTGGGCCTGAAGTCAGGAAGACCTGAGTGCAAATCCATCCCCAGACACTTACTAGATTCGTGTCCCTGGGCAAGTCACTTAACCTCTGTCTGCCTCAGTTCTTCCTATGCAAAATGCGAATACTCATAGCACCTACCTCTCAGGGTTGTTGTAAAAGTTGAATGAGGTAATATACACAAAATGTTTTGAAAAGCTTGAAGTGTTAATATAAATATTAGCCTTTAGTATTAATACCAAAAATATTTTGTGAGAATGTGGCAATAATACTTCAAAGGATGACTTGGCAAGAAGAAGTGGACTGGACTAGGCTGCCAGATCCTGTTCTATTTTCTCTAATTGACTATTCCTTTTTATATCAGGTAGTCCTCCCTTTGAGGCTCTAAGCCCATGTCCCAGCCTTGCTCAGACATGCCCCTCCTGAGGTTCTAACCATTCCCGCCCCGCTCCTCCCCTCCATGGGAGTTAGGGTACTGAGACACAGGACTGCTCTTAAAGAAGCCATATTCTCTAAATGTTTACTCCTTCCTCCCACATCAGCTCCCTGACAGTTTGTTACAACGCTCCCGTCTCCCCCCCTCCCCATCTGTTGATTTATATAATGACCAAGGATTCCCTTTTTGCTGAGGAACTGGACAATGAGGAAGAGAAAACCTGTAAATTTCTTGCAATTATCTTACTTCTCTTAGCTGTCTGCCGGTTCCTGCATAATATTAAATTGTTGTAACCAATATTATCCTTCTGGGCCCCTATTTCCCCCAATTCTTCCACCACCATACTCTTCCTTTCTTTTCCAGCTTTGGGGCCGATCTGATTAACAAGCCTTAATCAATCTGGGAGCAGGGTGTCCCCTAAAAATTGATGCCCAAAGCTACAGCCAAAATGAGCCATTCAGGACCAGGGTGCTTGTGGACTGTATGTAGAAGATAATGCTCATGAGAGTGGATGACCTGGCCCGCTTATCTTCAGTTACTTTTTTAAAGGATTACCTTGTGGCTTACTTTTTTCATTTTCTTCTTTCTGTCGTCGTTGATTTTGCTGCATTTGGGGGCACTTTTCTGATTATTCAAGGTGGTGAGGAGAGAGGTACATCTTTGGTTAACTCCCACTTGAATATATATACTCAAAATACATATTTTGTTTCTGTGATTTGTTTTTTCACACAATCATTCAGGACACCATTATTTAGTCTACATATGAGTACATATCTATTCCATGTGTTCTTCGTATCAATTCTTTATTATTATTATAATCTAGTAAGAGATCTACTTAGTATTTTTGCCTTTCCCCATCTATTTATAATTTCTTCATGTCCTGGTCCATACTCAATTTTTATGAAGAAAGCATGCGATGCTAAGACTTTTGCATGTTCTTTAATATTCTTACTCATCAGACATCATCTTTGAAATCTAAATTTCCCAATAGTGGGTTATTTTCTTTTTATCTTTTTGTTAGGTTAATCTGGCACTACAACTTCATTATCATCTATGCCTTTCTGCAATTCAGTTAGTTTCATCTTTAAGAACTTAGACACTTGTTAGACACTCCATATACTTAATATCATAGTTTTGTCATATATAGTGCCTTTAAGCATTATGTAGTTTGACATTGTCAGTTTTTACCGTTATCATACCAGAAATCATGATTTCAATCCCCCCTCCCCTTTTTTGGAATTAGCCTGAAGCATATTATATTTAATTTTTTTTTTTGGTGTGTTTCAAAATATTTAGGAAATTATTGGGTTTTGTTCTTATCCATTCCTCCACTCCTTTTTCCTGGGGGAGGGGGAATAGGATTTAAGCCATTCACATCTAATGTTATAAGTGTTAGATTTGTGTTTTTCTACCTTTAACTCAGGTGAATGGGAGGGTGGGGTGGGGAGAGTTTTACAACCTTTTCTGCTCTTAAGTCAGCACTTGGTCTCCTTGATTAGTTTTGTTTGTTAATCTGACCAATCTCCTGCCACAGACTTACCCATCTCCTCCCTTCTCCAGTACTGTGCCCAGTCCCAAGTTCCTGAATTTGGTTTTATTTCTTCTTTTCCTTCTTCCCTTTCCCAGCTTGGATGAGACTACAGTTTAGAATGTTCTCTGATATGAACCTTCTGGGACCTCTGAATTTGTCATCCACCTTATTCCCTTCCTATTCGAGGATATTCTGAAAGGGAATCTGATTCTACATACGGGCTTTATAATCAACTCTCATAAGAGATAAGGCTTCTGGAAAACAACAACCTTGCTCCCACTTTAGTCCAATTCATTTATTAGTGCTATTGTAGATTTTAGCCACTCTGTTCTTCTCCATTCCTTTTTAGTTTATTTTGTTTTTCTGAAAAGCATCCCTTTGCAAAGTCTGACTCCCAGAAATGCTGCTTTATGAAGGCAGCTTTGTGGTATGGTAGAAGTTGCTCTATATCTCTTTTCATAGGATATCTCATTCTCTTCTTAAACCTTTACAGACTAGCTTCCAATCTCATTGAACCTAAATTGTTCTCCCTGAAGTTACTAATGATCTCTTAATTGCCAATCAAATGGCCTTTCCTCAATCCTCATTCTTCCTGATCTCTCTGCAGCCCTTGGCACTGTTGATCCCCCTCTGCTCCCAGATACTCTCTAGGTTTTTGGAGTGCTACTGTCTCCTGGTTCTCCTAATTATTTGCCCCTTTCTCCTAGCGATCTTTTCCTACTCCACCACAGGCCCCGAGACAGGGGGAAAGGCTGAAGAAATCCCCTTTTCTTTCCAAGGTAATGCTGAGGATGCCTATATCACTTTGGTTCCCTCCCCTCTCTTCATTCTCATTTTCCCCTTGCCCCACCCCCATTCCCACCGCACTCTGATTTATTTATGAGGAAAAGTGGGTTTTAGTCCAAATAATACAAATCCTTCTTCCTTCTCTCCTGCTAATTCCTTAACCCCTTTGGTCATTAGCCTCTTAGATCCTTTTGCAGCTAGGTTTCTCTCCCTGACCCCCAACTAAGCAGAGATTTAAAAATAGCCTTCTTTCCCTAGAAGCCATTGAACAATGATTTTGTTACTTTCTGTTTTCTGTATTTATTTACTTTCCTCAGTTTTCTCTTGATGAAATTATTTGCTTGTCAATCATTTACTGTATAACATTTATATATGTAGTTCTATTATTTTCTAGATTGTTTGCTCCTTTCCCCTTGTTTCAATGCATTGAATGTCTATCTGCCTAGAGGCTGGCCTTATTACACCCAACTTTTCTCTCCTAGCCTCCCTGCTTACCATCCCTTTTCATCTGTTCCAAATATATTTTTATCAGGACTCATTAACTTGTTTGATTCCTTTCTCCATATAATGAATGCTCCTTGCTTTTGTCTGCATAACCAGATCTACCAACTTGAGTTAAGTGCTAGGGGATAGAATCCAGGTGGATATCTGTCTTGAAGAAACTCCATGGAAAGAGGACTATAGCTGAGCTTATACCACCCTCTTTTACACACCACACAAGTCCCTTCCCCTCTGATTGGCTTTGTATTTCTGAGTCTCTCCACCGTCTAGAGTAACCCAATTTCTCTGCCACTGAGGCTGGATGAGATCTGAGTGAACTTTCAGGGGACAGAAGAGATGCCACCATATCCCACACAGGAAATTCAGGCCTAATGAGATGATCACCCCAGGAGCAAGAGGGGCTCAGTGCTTTGAGGGGAAGTGGGTTCATCAATCTTCTGACGTCATTTTAGAAGCCTTTACGTTGTAGGAAAGAGTTTCCTTCCCACTCTTTTTGTGGTAACTGAAATTGCTTTCTGAGACATATTTGTAATGGGGGTGAGGGTTCAAGGTATGCTAATATATAGATTTCTCACTCTTGCAATTTTTGTAGAAACTCTCCTAGCTGCTGGTCTCTACCCCATCTACAGAACCTTCTGGATTTTGGAGGGACCTCGACCTAAGGGGCCTTTTGTTCCGATGAAACAGAAAGCAATCTTGGTTAGTCCAAAAACTTTTAGTCTCCAAACTTAAGGCAAGACCGTGACCTTCTCCCATCAAACTATGGGATCACTTTCTCTACTGGTGGAGGCAATAACCCTCAAGACATCCTGTAGTAGGGGCAGGTATTCTTAGCCTAGAACTCAAAATGAGGCTGAGGAATTCAACACATACTCTTCAGGGCCACAGCTGCAAAGCAAAAATTCTGAATCTTTGAGTAGGAAGGGGGTAATTGAGTTCTTTAACACCATTTCCTACCAGGGGAAAACTCCAATCCAATCCAATGTAATCCAATTTCCAGGCCCAGTAGACTTACCATAGGATCATTGATTTAAGAGCTGGAAAGGACCTTAGAGGTCCAACTACCCCATTTTTTTTAGTTTTAAATATTTTATTTTCCCCCCAATTACATGTAAAAACAATTTTTATACTCTCTTTAAAAAAGTTCTGACCAACTACCCCATTTTAAAGATGAGAAAACTGAGGCCCAGACAGGTTAAATGATTGGCTCAGGGTCACACAGCTAGTGCCTGAGGTAGGATTTGAACCTAGGTCTTCTTTGTTATAAATCCAGCACTCTATTTACTACACCACGTTGCCTCTCTTATACGACAGAAGTTTTACTGCTTAACTGCGGGCTGTCACCGTTGGGATGCCTACTGTACTGCCCTTCAGTATCTTGATAAGGTGTAGATTTCCTTGAGATGTTAGCTTCCATGGCCATTCAAGAACTGGTCAGTGAACTTTCATACTAAGATCAAAACCAGATCTCCTCATAAGAGTGACCTGGAGTTCTTTGAGTTGCTACATTTCCCCCCTTGGATCAGGAAGCAAATTTGTTTTAAAGTCCATTTGTTATTTTCTCTACTTCCAATCCTTAAGTTCCAAAACAGCATTTGAACCAGGTAATTTTAAAAGTCCTTTCCTTTTTATGATGATATTCCAGACTCAGAAGTACAACATGTGTAAATCTGATGCAGATAAGCCTAAGGGTATTAATTTACATTTCATAAGAACTTTCATAAGATAGTTCCCATATTAAATATCATCTGGAGGTGGGAGAATCATCCTAGGACATTTATCTACCATCTTTTATTCCTCTGCTCTAAAAAGTTATAAAAGTTCAACTATTTTGCTAATTAATATTTTGGTACATTTTCCTAAAACCATTTAAAAAACAGACTTGTATTTTATTAACAGTACTTCAAATTTTGCACTTTTGCAACTGAACTGCCACCTGATCGGTAGCTAATGTAACAAAAAAAGAGGGACATAAAGGAAGATGTGCCTTTTTTTCTTCTCAAAGCAACAATTTAATTGATGATAAAACTTGACATCTTGACTCTCCAATATTTAACAGATGATAAAACTTTATGAAGCATTCCTTCAATTATATGCATGGTTAATCTCCAGCATGAAAATTCTGATGAGGAGTGGACTCCAAAGATTTTACCAGGGTCATTATGCTTCATAAGGGATGAGCTCATTCTGAGGGCATTTCCACATTCATTACATTTATGAACATCCTCACCAGTATGAATTATCCAATATTCTACAAGTTTTTCTAGATTGAAAGCTTCCCCAAATACATTATAATCAAAAGATTTCTAGCCAATATGAATTTTCTTACATGTATCAAAGCTTTTATATCAGCCTGAAAGATGTACAACATTCATTACATTCAAAGAATCTCTCCAGTATGAATCAACTTCTGGTGCTTTGGGTTTCTACTCTAGGTGAAAGCATTCCTACATTTATTTCACTGGAAGGATTTCTCTTCAGTGTGAGTTCTTTGATGACTAATACAGGTTGCACTATTGCTAAGGACCTTATGAAATTTATTACATTCAAAGAGTTTTTCTCCAGTATGAATATCCTTGAGCAGTTACTAGTTGGCATACTGGATAGAGCATAAAACTTAAGCGTCAAGGAGCCCTAACCTGATGCTATTTGGGCAGCTGCTTAATATTTCGGAGTGTCGGGAAACTCTAAGACAAGATTATACATGAGTTGTGATCTCTATCGGTAGATGGAGTTCCCACACTGTTGAAATCACAAATCTTGGTTATAATGATGAATGAGTCCACTTATGTCCTTCAGTTTTCTACTCAAATTGAAAAATTTCTCACATTTTTTAATCATGAAAACTTTTCTCTCCAGTATGAATTCTCTGATGTGTAATAAAGTTGTTTTTTTTTCCCCCTGCTGAAGGCTTTCCCAATTTCCTAATATTGAAATGGTCTACAGTAGAAATTCTCAATTTTTTAAAGCAATGAGTTATTTCTGAAAGTTTTCTCACATTTGTTTATATTCAAAGGGGTTCTCTCTACTATGAATTTTATCATATGCAACAAAGTTTGGACTATAAACACTCCCTCTTTCATTCCATTCAAAAAGCTTCATCCCAGCATGAGTTTTTTTATGTTCTTTCAGGTTTCCACTCCATTTGAAAGCTTTCTCACATTCATCACACTGAAATGGCTTCTCTTCAGTATGAATTTTCTTATGTCCTTTGAGGTTTTCACTACGGGTAAAAGCTTTTCCACATTCCTCACACTGAAAAGGTTTCTCTCCAGTATGAATTCTCTTATGTTTATTAAGATCTCCTCTCTGGCTGAAAGATTTCTGACATTCATTACAATGAAAGGGTTTCTCTCGAATATGAGAGAATATCTGATGTCGAGCTAAGCTCTGGTTATTGGTGAAGGCTTTTTCACATTCATTACAACCAAAAGGAGTTTCACCTGTATGTATTCTCTTATGGGTATTAAGGCTTCCCTTCCGGCCAAAGGCCTTCCCACAATCATTGCATATATAGGGCTTTTCGCCAGTATGAATTCTCTGATGTTGCACAAGGAATGAGCAGTATCGGAAGCCTTTTCCACATTCACTACATTCAAAGTGTTTCTCTCCAGTATGAGCAATCTTATGTGCATTAAGGCCTCCCTTCTGGCTAAAGGCTTTGTCACACTGATTACATTTATAAGGTTTCTCTCCAGTGTGAATTCTCTGATGTCGCATAAGGGACGAACGGTGTCTGAAGGCTCTCCCACATGCATTACATTGAAAGCGTTTCTCTCCAGTATGAGTTATTTTATGTGTATTAAGGATTCCCTTCTGGTTGAAGGCTTTTCCACATTCATTACATATAAAGGGTTTCTCACCAGTATGAATTCTCTGATGTTGCATAAGAGAAGAACTGTACCTGAAGCCTTTCCCACATTCATAACATTTAAAAGGTTTCTCTCCAGTATTATTATTAATTACCCTACGTTTAGGAAGGTAAGGGGTGTTGCTGAAGGTTTTACCAAATGTATTCAATACATATGGTTTCTCTTGAGAATGAATTCGTTGATGTCGAGTTAGGTGTCTATTACTGCTGAAGACTTTCTCACACTCATTACATTCAAAAGGTTTCTCACCTGTATGAATTCTCTTATGTGTTTTAAGGTTTCCCTTCTGGCTGAAGGCTTTTCCACATTCATTACATATATAGGGTTTCTCTCCAGTGTGAATTCTTTGATGCACAATAAGGCGTGAATTATTACTGAAAGCTTTCTCACATGCATTACACGGAAAGAGTTTGTCTTCAGTATGAAACATCTTGTGTGTATCAAGGTTTTCTTTCTGGCTGAAGGCCTTCCCACATTCATCACATACAAAGAGTTTCCCCCCAGCATGACTTCTCTGATGTAGGGTGAGGTTTAAAATGCTACTAAAAGTTCTGCCACATTCATTACATTTAAGAGGTCTTCCTCGAGTATGTGTTCTATAGTAATGAAGGAGGTTTGACTGATAATTGAAGGGGTTTCCTGTACTTACTATATTTACAAAGTTTCTTTCCTAATTCAATTCTATTATATTTAATTAGGTCTGAAAATTGTTTGAAACTCTCTCCAAGTGTATCGTATTTATGGAGACTTTCTCCTCTAGGAAAACTCAGTTGTGGAATGAGGAAAGACCCGAGAATGAGCTTTCTCCCAAATATATTATAGTCATGAGTGACTGGTACCTGCCTCGGCTGTCTCTCTGGGTTTCCCTTTTGTCTCTCTAACCTGACATCATGATCCCAAGCTTCTCCCAAACTGGAATTCCAGGGGCCCTCCTCTGTGAGTCTCTCATTGGATGACGCTCCCAAAGAAATATACTGCTTTGGAATGGATTCTTTAATTTCATATCCTGTCTTCTGAATAAGGGAATCTGAAAGAAATAGAAAAGCGTCAGTTTGTACTGTTGCCTGTGCTGGGAGAAAGAAAAGTGATTTTATACTAAGTTCTAGATTTTGCCTTCTTATTCAAAGCGAATGACGGTTAGTCTAGGAAAAGTGAAGCACTGAAGGAAGTGAGGGAGGAGAGAGTAAAAGAGCACCTAGCTGCCCAGAATTTAACGAATTACATTCTAGGATATGGAAAAACTTTATAGATTTCATCAGATTACCAATATTGGGAATTCTTGGGAAAACGTGTCAATATTCAGAAAGAGGAAATATACTAATTCTGAGAAATAAAGATAAGCTTGAAGAGAATCTCCATCAGAATTCAAGAACCTATTATGAAAGAGATTATTTATAAACACAAACACCCTTATGAACAATGTAGAATGATACCTCACTTGTGTGGGAAAAATTTGATGTTATAAAGAGGCAGACAAAGATCTTTTATTCATTGAAAATTAGAGAACTGTGAATGTAAAGAAATATAGCTTCGAGGATACCAAAGAGATAATGGATTACTTTGGAGAAGTTATAGTTGCAAGGGGCTATGGTATCTCAGCTCATATATATTTATGTACATGTTCTATGACTAAAGATGATAAACTTTTTTTTTAAGTCACAAAAACATTTGAACAGTGAGGTGTGATTTAAAATGAGCTACAGATTTCAT